GGGACATGGGTCAGTGGTGGCCTTGGCAGTGCTGGGGAAACATTTGGACTAGATAATCTTAAAATCTTTTCCATTTTCTAAACGATTCCATGGTTTTTCTCCCACCTGGGGACACCACAGCTACGAAAACCCCCCAAATCCTTAATTTCCAGCGGGAAACGCTTCCCGGAGGTTCCACCTCGAAACCCCTTCCCCGGCTTCCAGATATATTTTACCTTATAAAGTCTTCCTCCTCCTCCCTCTTGGGTCTCAGCTGCTTGGGCTGGGCCATGTTGCTCCAGTTGGGCAGGGATTTCAGGAGCCTGCTGATGTCGTCGTCCTTGGCCCAGGACGCGCTGATCACCAGCTTCTCATCCGACTGCACGATGGTCCTGGGGGGGAAAACAGCCCCAAAAATGTCACTGGGCTTCAGTTCAACTCATCAAAACCCCCTGTCACACGTCAATTAGGCAGCAAGGAAGGGATCCAAGGTGGAATTCTGCCAGGATGAGACAACACAGGTGGGCAGGATACAAAATTCTCTTAAACTCGGAATTCTTGGTGCACTTTGAGAGAGACCTTGAAGGGAAAAAGGGCCAGGTTGTCCCCAGCCTTGAAATCATGCAGCTTGTAATGTTTGACACAACTGCAGGAGGGGTCATCTGATGTCTCCAAGGCCTGTTTGTTCCCTGCAATCCCAGCTGAGCTCACCAGTGTTGGGACTCTCCAACGTGGAAAACCTGCCCAGGAACTCCTGGGTGGAATCCACACACCTGGGGACCAGGCCTGGAGCACTGGAGGGGAATGAAGCATCCAGGATCTTCTTTCCAGTCATCCAAAACATCAGACAATAGAGATTTCAGCTAAATCCTACGTGTGAAACCCCATGGGAGATCACAGCACATTCCAGTTAGGAAGGCTTTCCCTGTTTAATATTTTTGGCAGTGGAATTAACCTGAATTCCTGACCGGCAATCTGAGGAGGCAAATGGGATGCTGTGTTTGGAGGAGTCAATTATGGACTTTAAGAACCTTATTTCCAGCCCCCTGCTACGGGCAGGGACACCTTCCACAATCCCAAGTTGCTCCAAGCCCCCAACCTGACCTTGGACACTTCCAGGGATGGGGCAGCCACAGCTTCTTTGGACTTTTGAAAAGGAAAACAGCGGGGAAAAAAAGGCTTTGAGACAGGAGCCAACACTGATCCACCTGGAACAGAGCAGATCAATTCTTTCCCCACCCATCACTCCCTTCACCAAGAAAACAACCCCTGCTCAGGAACCACACAGGGCTGGTAACAATGAATTTGTCACATGCACTTACACATAAATTTTCCTTCTCTTCAAGCTCCACGTTCAATCTGTCACAGACAAAAGAGTGAATTTTGTTTCCAGCCACTCAAGACCTCGGTGGCAACATTTGCTCTTGGCCTTCTGCTCCTTTCAGGAATTTGGTGTTTTTCCACTTAGGGGAAAAAAAAGAAAAGGTCTATTTTTTGGTTTTTTTTTTCACCTCAGTGATAACAGAGCGGGGGGGAGAAAAGCTCTCCACCAGCATCTCTGACATCTGAGACGCAAAAAATCTGAATTTGATGATGTCTGGCCATTTCTCTGCCAAGGCAAGACAACTGTTCCATTGGATGTATCAGTGCTTTGTCCTCTCCACATTTAAATGACTGAAGGAATAGTTCCCTTCCCTTGGGAGGCTATTTCACAGTTGAACAAATCTAACTCTTGGATTAAAAAAACAAAACAACAAAACCCTCCTGATACTGTGCTTTATTGTGTTTTATTTGACTCAGTTCCATCCCACTGCTCCCTGAGATTATGGCTTCAGCTCTCACCACTCCCACTGTTTGCTCTCCTCAATTATTTACAGCCCTTTGGTTGTCCGTGACTCCAAGTCATTCTGGGGAGTCTCCTGATGGAGTTATAGGGAGGACAGAGCTCCCTCTCTGTGTTTTAGGATCCTCAAAATTCCTGTTGCTTTGTGGAGTCAGTGCTGAGGAAGGGCAGAGGGGAGGATGTTTGGCTGCTGCAACAAGTTGCAACCTCAGCTTGGACTCCTTGCTTTTCTAAGAGAGTTTTCCAAGGGTCTAATCCACGTGATTCCCACTTTTCTCACCTTTTGGTGACGTGGTTCTCATGGGTTGTCACAGAATCATGGAATGGTTTGTGGTGGAAAGGACATTAAAGCTCATCCAGTCCCACCCCCTGCCATGGGAAGGGACACCTTCCCCTATCCCAGGTCACTCCAAGCCCCGTCCAACCTGGCCCTGGACACTTCCAGGGATGGGGAATCCTCTCTGGAGCCCTCACAGCCAAATTCTCCATTGAAATCAATAGGGAGCTTCAAAGTAATCCAAGCTGGGACAATTAACATGTCCCTGGGAATTATATCTCCACGTGTATCCCTGGGAATTATAACCCTGGCTGCAACACCTCCTAGTTTTTATTGGCAGGTTGGTTTTCCTCCAACCCCCCCTCCCATTAAGGAGATGTTAAATAGGGTGGGACATCCCCAACCTCCATCAGACACCCAGCTTTCCCCACCAATTCCAGCCTCTTTTTCCCACACCTTTTCCTTCCAGCATCTTCCAGCCAGTTTTCGACCTCCAGAACTTCCATCCATGTCAGTCTTAAATCAGGTCCTGGAGTAAATTATCCCAAGGCGGGATGAGATGTTTTACTACAGCTCAAAATGCTTCCTTTCAAACCCTTCAAACCCCTTTCAAACCTCCTCCTCCTCCCAAACTCCTCAGTCATCATTCCTGCTGTTCCAATATGAGGAGTGCTGGATTGTCCTTGGCTGGATCCAGGGGCTCCATCACTCAGCAGGACAGAGGAGGGGGAAAATAAGATGGAAAAAACCCTCATGGCTCAAGCTTTTAATTGTGGGACAGACATATATTTTGGAATATCAGCTTGGGCCAGCTGTGTCCCCTTCCCAAAATCCTGCCTGCTGGTGAGGGGGAATGTTGGAGAGATGCTCGTGGTCAAAACACTGGTGTGTTACCAGTGCTTTTCCAGCTCCAAATACACATCCATGAGGAAAATTAACTCCATCCCAGCCAGATCCAATGTAGGGTCACCTGCTTAACCAGTGACATGGTCACCTCATTAATCCCCAGCTTGCTAGGTCAAGGAAAATGCCATAATTTGGAATGATTCCTTTCTCTTTCCATGGCTGAGGTGATGTTTCCGTGCTGATCTCTGCTCGTGCTGCTGAGAGTTAAAAATCCCAGGTACCTCCAGCCTGAGGGACACAAATCCTGCCCAAAAAGAGCCAAACCCACAATTTAAACTCCCAGAATTTAAAGCAAGAAGGGGAAGATGCCAATGAGAAGCAGCATTCCCCGGGGGAATCAAGAAACCCTGTCTGCCCACAGACCCCACGGTTTTGGATGAATTAATCTGCTCCTCGTTTCCTTATCAATTAAAAAAAAAGGGGTTTTAGATTTATTTTGCCTGGCTGGAAAGCAGGAAAGATTTCCAGTCAGGGTTTTTTTTTAATTATTTCCCCTGTTTTGAGAGATCCAAGCCCAGTTATTTCCCACTGCACAAATTTAGGCTGAGTCCAGCTTGGTGATCATGGAAAGAGCTGAGCACCTCCAGAGAGTTTAGTCACCTTTTAATAGGATGAACCACTTTTTGAGGGCATTCATCTCTTTTCAGAGACTAAAAAAAAAGGCTCGTTTGGGTGAGTGATGCCTTCACTCAGAGCCTTCAAACAGGCTGAAATATGTGCAAGATGATGGTTGCTCAAGGGAGAGAGGATGAAGATGAGGGTGGACACACAGGGTGGAGCCTAAAGCTGACAACGAAATAACTCAATATTGGCCAATTCCTGCAGAAAGACACGGGAAAAGATTAGTTTTAGCACTCAAGGTTGTCTGAAAAGAGTGTTGGAAAAGGTGAAGAAGCAACTGTGAACTGGTCAGGGTTCTCCCTGTCCCTGTGACACTCTGTATGGCCTTTTAGTGCCTCCCAAAGCCTCCTAAAACTGGTTTTATCCCACAAGGAGAGCCACTTCCACAGGAATCTGCTGAAGGGCGGGGGCTGGACAAGGCTGAAGAAAAGCACTGCCAGCACAGCAGGAGGTTCTGGGGCTCTATCTCCCATTTTAATTGACATTTTCATCCCCGAGCCCTCTTATGGATTAGCTGGAAAACATTTGTCAACAGTTTGTGTCACGTTGAAATTGGAATTTTGGCGAACGTGTAACTCGCAGGAGACACTTCACCTCCATTAAACATAAAACTTCTGGAATTCCTCACCCATTAAAACGTGAAATCCCGTGGTTGCTACTTAGATAAATGTCCAAGCCACTCATATCCAGCCCTGCTGGGTTTCCCTTTTTGTAATCCCTAAGGAATAGGAGCCAAATGGAACTCGGACATGGACAATCCCAGCTGTGCCTTTCCTGGTGTTGTTTCTTCCAGTCCTTCCTGAGCTTCTCCACAAAGAAAATCTCCCTTGGAGGAGCCTCTCCTTGGGCACATTTCACCCATTTTTGTCCATATTCCTCTTGAAGAAACATGTGGGGAAGGAACAAATGCCATGTGCAAATCCTACATGCCCTGGCTTCCCAAATTCCCACATCCCAGGAAGAGCTGCTCCCTTGCTCCGGGACATCAATTCCCAGCTCCAATAAATCAATTTATCCTGATTTTAAGCAGCTAAAAATAACCCTCCCTCCACCAAATTTTGAGATTTGCCCATCTCAGCTCCAAGGAAAAACCCTGGAGGCTGCCTGGAGCCGTAGGGATCCGAGATCCCTGCAGAGGGCACAACATCCCTGCGGATGGAACTGCCCAGGAAAACCTGGGAGCTCGCTCTGCTCCTCGGCATCATTTGAAATGGATATGGATTTCTATTTCTATTTTCACTCCCTCATTTGCCAGCAGCAAAAAACGAGAACATTTCCTGTTTCTCCTCCTCCTCCCGCTGTAATCAGGAGATCACCAAATTAGGCCTGGCCTAATTACTCCCTCAGCAGGTGCAAAAGCAAAAAATGGAACCAGAAAAAAAAAAAAAAAAAACCAGGAAGGAAGGAAGGACCTTGGAGTTCAAGCCAAACAAATCACATCTATTGTCTGGCTCCAGGCAGTGAAGTTTTCCTATAAAAAAAAAGGAACATTTTGGACAATGGCCCACGGGTAGGGAGCAATTCCTGTGAGAGCTCAGGCGAAGTTTATTATTAATAATAATAACGAGCTGCTCAGCAGATGAAGCTTTTCCTCAGTGAAACCAGGCAATGGGGAAGAATTCCTTGCTCAGGAAACACAAGGGGCTTTTTCAGCTTTCCCCTGCCACCAGCAAGCCCCAATTAGCCGTTAAGGGGATTATGGAGAGCAGCAATTACAGCCCACATTTAGTGGTTTTCAATGCCACTATTTATCCCTGCATGATCCTGGTGCTCCTCTCCAGGGATAGGGACATTTTACAGCTGGAATACTGGGATGGACAGAGAAGAAGGTATTTATTAATAGTGACACAGGAAAACTGTGATAAATCAAATACCCAAAGGGCTTCAAGGGAACAACCCCATGTCCAGCGGGATCACGCTGCCTTTGGCTCCCACACCGGGGCCGGGGAAGAAGTTAGAGATGGATCATCCCAAAAATGCTGATGAGCAAGGAGGGAGCATTTGATGGCCCCCCTGAGAGAGTAAATTTACAGAATTGTTTTGGGAGGGTTTCACAAAACCCAGTGTGTGTGGATTTATAGGGTTATTAATTCCTAGAATCAGAGAATCCTAGAAATGTTACAGTGGCAAAAAGTCCTCCAAGATCATGGAGTCCACTCACTCCCCCAGCACTGCCAAGGCCACCACTGATCCATGTCCCCAAGTGCCACATCCACATGGATTTTAAATCCCTCCAGGGATGGGGACTCCAACCCTGCCCTGGGCAGCCCCTTCCAATGCCTGATCTCCCTTTCCATGAGGAAATTTTCCCTGATTATCCAATCTAAACCTTCCCTGGTGTAACTCAGAACCATTTCTTCCCACGCTGAAGTTCCTACAGTGCCATGAGAGCTGAGTACCCAGATCTCAATTAATTCAAATTGAGCTGAATCCCTTGCAAATGCTCCAATGAAGAATCTGATTTGCTTCACAAGAAAGCAACAGCCACAAACATCTGTTTAGTTTAAAGATGGGACTTCATACTCTCAGTTTGCAACCTGAGGTGACCTTTTATCACAGAGGGTTGGAAAGGACCTTCAAGACCAGCCAGTTCCAACCCCGACACCTCCCATTATCCCAGGTTGCTCCAAGTCCTGTCCAGCCTGGCCTTGGACACTTCCAGGGATCCAGGGGCAGCCACAGCTTCTCTGGGCAATCTGTGCCAGGGCCTCCCCACCCTCAGTCCAGGATTTCTTCCCAATCTCTAATCTTCCTACTCTCTGTCAGTTTGAAGTCATTCCCTGTGTCCTGTCCCTCCACCCCTGGTCCCAAGTCCCTCTCCAGCTCTCCTGGAGCCCCTTTAGGCCCTGGAAGCTGATTAAGGCAAGAGCTGGACTAGTTTCCAAGCTCTATCACCACTGTCATCCACTCTCCAAGAGCCTAAACCACGGTGTGATGTGGATAAAGCCAAAACCCTCCACAGGATCATTATTTCAGCTTTTTCCCCCACCTGGAGAGAAACCTCCGTGACCATCCCAGCAGAGGCACTTCCAGAAGTGACTCCTGCCTTCTCAGGGCCAAATCCCAACCCCCCAGGAGCAGCATCTCCCCTATGAACTGCTCTCCAAGCCTTGGTACCTGTAGGCCAGGGTGCAGGTGTCCTTGTACTCCTGGAGCTTCACGCACACCATGTTGAGGAACTGATCCGAGTACGCGCTCAGGTCGTGCATCAGGTTCATCAGGTCCTGCACCGTCTTCTCCACGATCACCGTGCTCTGGGAGAGGGAACAGAAGCCAAGGGATTGACGCCTCAGAGCTTTCTGGGGTTTGTTTTTTAAGTTTTGTATGTTTTAGAAGTAGTTGTGTAGCGAATGTAGATTTTATTGTAGGTGTGTTATATCCCTTACCCTTAACACAGCAGTTACACATCCCCAACTCTGTTACCCCATCCCATATCAATCCCTCTAAATTCCCTCAGCATGTTTAGTCTTCTTGTCAAGGTAGAATTGTAGAAAAACACCCTAAGGCCTGGACCAGAAGACATCACACAGACACGGCGACCTTCAAGCCCAGAACTGTTGGATTCCAAAAACTGGATATGAGAAAAAGAAAAACTGTTTAAACAAAGCCTTGGGCTGACAGAGACTGGGGAAAAACCTCCATCTAGAGTCCAAACAAGGATCCATTGATGTCACAGGTTCGGAATGTCCTGCCCAAGCCTGGAGAAACCATGTCCTGATCTCACCAAACCTGTGCAGAAAACCTTTTGTGTTTTATCTCTCCCTTCGTGTTACCTGTTCCCCTCTGTAAAATCCCCAAAATAAAGCAGAGTTTTTCCCATGAGGTAATTCCTAAGACCCCAAGATGTGTTCACCTGGGCTTTCCCCTTATGTCACCCTTGTGAAACTCCCTGATTTTAATAACATGAATATGTGAACCCCCTGTTAAATATGTAAACCCTGAACCCTTTAAATACGAACTTGTGAGTCCAAATAAACTATTCCAGTTTTCTGCCTCCGCTGGGATCGTGTTCATTTATTGACCTCTGCACAGAACTTTGGAGGAACTCCAAGGACTGGACGTGTTGCAAAGAAGATGAAGATGAGGAAGAAGGGGTCCCAAAGACCCCAAACCCAATTCCTGAAGGGGCGTGTCAGGGGGCAGAAGAAGGGTTTGAATGTCAGGTCTGAAGGTTTGGATTTCTGAGCCAGTTGCTGAGGCTCAGCAAAGTTCACGAGGCCTTTCCTTCAGCAGAGGGAACCTCAAAGTGAAAAACTGTGATTTTTTAGAGGGACGAGGTGCACAGAGCTCGAATCGCTGCTCCACATCCCACAGATCCCAGAATCACTGAGGCTGGAAAAGACCTCCACAAGATCAGGGAATCCAAGTTTTGATCACCACCTTGTCAGCCAGAGCAGAGCACTGAGTGCCACTAAGACCCCGGACAGAAGGAGGTACCATATATCTGATAATGTCCAAGATTTAAACAGCTCCATAGGAATTCTGGGATTTCCCAGGCACCCCAAGGTGACTCATCCCAGTTTGTGTTTATAACGCCATGGGTTGTGTTTAATTTGGTTGCTACAAACAAGACAAGGGGAAGGTTTTCAAAGTCCCAGGTTGATATAAATTGAATTATTAATAGTCTTTATGATAAAGTGAAGGGTTATTCCTGATCCTCCTCCTCAGTCAGGGCTCAGCAAGGTGGGATTCAGGGAAGGTTTAGGCCCCGCCTAAGCTGCTCCTGATCCATCCTTGGCTCACAACTGCACTTGGAGGAAAAACCCCACTTCTCTTTGGTTCCTCTTATTAAGCAAATCACAGGAATTAACCCATCTTTCATCCCGTAATTAGCAATAATTTGGGATTATTTTGTCCCAGCCTGAAGCAGCTGCCGCTCAGATGCTCCTATTTACGAAGCTTCTCCTGTTATTAAATAATAAACAAATATTCAATAAATTTTTAATAAATATTCAATCCCACCCCGGGCTTGATGTGCACAGAGGAGAACAACCAACCCTAAAGGACTTGCCACCTGGAGATGTCCCCAGGAAATGGAGCCCAGAGCAGCGTGGAGGGGCTGTGGCAGCCACAGGGGCTGATTTCACACCCAGGGGCTCAGAGCATGGATCATTAACTCCGGGATTCCAACATCTCCCAAGCTCATTTCTTTCCCTGCCTGCTGTGCCCAGAGAGGGCAAAAGCAGCATTTTAAGAGTCTGCCCAAATCCCACTAAAATCGTGGAATCACGGAATGGTTTGGGTTGGAAGGGACTGCAAAGATCATCTCGTTCCAAGCAGGGACACCTTCCACTAGCCCAGGTTGCTCCAGCCCGGCCTTGGACACTTCCAGGGATCCAGAGGCAGCCACAGCTTCTCTGGGAAATCCATTCCAGCCCCTCCCCACCCTCCCAGCAGGAATTCCTTCCCAATATCCCATCCATCCCTGCCCTCTGGCACTGGGAAGCCATTCCCTGTGTCCTGTCCCTCCAGGCCTTGTCCCCAGTCCCTCTCCAGCTCTTCTGGAGCCCCTTTAGACTCTGCAAGGGGCTCTCAGCTCTCCCTGGAGCCTTCTCTTCTCCAGGTGAACATTCCCAGCTCTCCCAGCCTGGCTCCAGAGCAGAGGGGCTCCAACCCTGGGAGCAGCTCCGGGGCCTCCTCTGGACTCTCTCCAGCAGCTCCACGTCCTCCTGCTGTTGTTCCCAGGGCTGGAGGCAGCTCTGCAGGGGGGCCTCCCCTGAGGGGGCAGAGGGGGAGACTGATCTGGCTGGAGAGTAAAGTCAAGTCCATGAATAAATGAGAAATGTGTGGGTATGACACAGTAATTTGGGGAAATCAGATCCATCAGATCCACTGGACACAGTCAGGCCTTCCCTGCGTTTGGGCTGGTTGAGGAGCTCCTCCTCTTCAACCTTTAATCAGCACCAGGGGTTTCCCTTTGCACCCAGATGGCTCAAAGATGCCCCCACGGACACTGTTTGTGTCAGCAGAGGAAAAGGTGACTCTCCCACCTGCTGACCTGAGCCAGGAGAACATCTCCAAGTGCTCAAATGAAAATACCTGAAGTTGCTGCGTGGCCTCAATCCAAGTCTCCAATTGGGGACTGATCCTGAGGAGTTAAAGTTCACATTTATACACAGGGAATAAAAGGAAGATAGAAAAATCCCTCCTAGCTCGTATAAAACATGGAAGACAAAAGCAATTTCTCTCCTCTTTTGTGTGAACAATCAGATTTTTCCTTTTCCACTGGGATTTCACTGGTCAGGGGCGGGTGGGGTTTCCAGCAGATCTGTGATGTCAACTGATCTCTTGTCGCTTACCAGGAGAAGGATCTGTCCAGGATCTTCCAGGATCCTCAGGGGACTTCCAGGATCCTCAGGAAGATCCAGAAGGATCTTCCATGACCCTCAGGTGACAACAAACCTCTTGGGTTGGACGTGCAACCACACAAGGAGGAATCAAACCTGGTCTCGATCCAGCTCAGCTCAGTTTCTTTACAGAACTCAACATTTGAAAAAAAAACAACTTAAAGATGCACAATTTCATATAACAACTTAAAAATCTACAGCTTCATGTAACAACTTAAAAATCCACAATTTCACCTTAAAAGAGAAGGCATCGCTGGTTTCTACGTGGCTTCTCCCACTTATTTCTGCTCCCTGCAACATGAAAAGCCTGCCAATATCTGGATGTCACAATTAAACCTTTGGATTTCAAGATAAACCCTTGGCCACCAGGATGACTTAAAAAAAAACCAGGAGGGGTGGAAAAAGGGAAATTACCATATGAAAGGAGAAGCAGAGAGACACGTTCAGGGCTATTTTTCTGGGACATCTTAACCTCTTCCAAAGCAATCCTGACACATCTGCACCAGTGGAGAATCAGATTTTTCCTCTTCCACTGGGATTTCACTGGTTGGGGGTGGGTGGGATTTCCAGCAGATCTGTGATATCAACTGATCTCTTGTGGCTTATCAGGAGAAGGATCTGTCCTTCCAGGATCCTCAGGAGACAACAAACCTCTTGGGTTGGACATGCAACCACACAAGGAGGAATCAAACCTGGTCTCATCTCAGTTTCTTTTCGTAACTCAACATTTGAAAAAAAACACAAACTTAAAAATCCACAACTTCATGTAACAACTTAAAAATCTACGACTTCATGTAACACCTTAAAAATCCACAGCTTCACGTAACAACTTAAAAATCCACCACTTCACTTTAAAAGAGAAGGCATCGCTGGTTTCTACGTGGCTTCTCCCACTTATTTCTGCTCCCTGCAACATGAAAAGCCTGCCAATACCTGGATGTCACAATTAAACCTTTGGATTTCAGGGAAACACAAAGCCACCGGGATGATTAAAAAAAAAAAAACCGGGAGGGGCGGAAAAAGGGAAATTACCATATGAAAGGAGAAGCAGCCAGACACGTTAAGGGCTATTTTTCTGGGACATCTTAACCTCTTCCAAAGCAATCCTGACACATCTGCAGGAGCCTCTGGGGACCCCGTGTTGCCAGGACAGCTGGATTCGTTAGCAGGGCCCGGGGAATCCTCTGAAACTCGGCGCCGGAAAATGAAAGGCAGCGCTTGTGTTATCCCAGAGTTACAACCCAGTTGCCTCTGACCCATCTGGATTCATTAAGAGCAAATGGATGTGATCAAAGGATAATTTGGTGGCGAGACACTTCAATGGAGGCTGTAAAAAAAAATAAAAACCCACAGTAACAAGGAAGCTCAGCCACGGAACAACGTGGGTCCCCTCGCAGCTGACACAGGATAAGCAGACCTGGAGATGTTGTTTCAATAATTCCTTTGGGATCATTACCTTGTGCAAGTTTTCTGAAGGACTGAATTCCTTTACAGCAGGAGAGCGCTCCAGGTAAAACAGTCCAGCTGGAGGGGAGTTTGTAAAGATCCCT